GACAGATCAAAACTTGCGGAGTTCATAATTCCTCGAAATAATTTTGTAGAAATGCTTGTATAGTTTCATTGTTCTGGAGAAATGAATAACTGTTATGATTGAATGAATGGATAACTCTCGGCCGGATTTTATTAAGCGATAGGCGAGAAAAAAATGCTTCAGCGGCTTGCTCTGTACTTCGAAACCTCGGCAAGAAAAAAAAATCCAATCGCGGTCCACAGTGGTCGAAATTTCTCGTTCAAGATCTCTTTTGAAGCTCTCAAAATTTTCCTTTTTGAAAAAAATACGTGTCCAAGTCGAAGAAGTTTTGCGAAAGACTTAAATCCATAGACTTCTACCGCAATATGTGCGATAATTCTCTGCAGTTTTATTCACACACTTAGAACAAAAGGATACTTATAAAACTTCGCGGCCCTGGGCAGCTTAATTAAGCCATTGTTCAATTCCTTTGAATGCGCTTCTGAGTTTTCCGCCATAAAATCTCACCTTCTTTGAACCGAGTCAAAACGAACACTCTCGAAGGGAAAGTTCGGAGGAATAAGTTGAGCCTTCAGGGTACAAAATCCAGCGGTTATGCCCATTTCTGAAATACACACTTAAATCGGCGTGAAGTTGTAATGTTCTTCGAGTACATGTACACAGGAGATGCACCACAGCATTTTGAATATATATGTAACAATAATGGTAATTATTGTCATGCAATCACAACCTATTCTCTTCAACTTTCTTCCTTGTTGATGACAAAGTATCTACTGGTGTCTCTTGGATGGAGCAGATGTAAACAGGCAGTTTATTAAACTGCACTTCAAGGATCAGGATCCTGTGGAAAAGAAATTTGTAGTGGAAAACATTTTCACTGGGAATCCCATGGTATTTATCATGGACCCAAAGGTAACACTCTATTTCTGATCTAGAATCTTCATTGAACATTCTCACCCTTTGAGATAAAAATGGTATATATCTTTAACGGTTACGATGATATCTTTTTCAGTCACCTTTTCATACAAAATTGCTGTTGATTTGTTTTTTACAAAAAAGCAAAAACAAAACAACCGGCACTGCAAGACAAGTTACGTCACTTCCATGGTCTGTACTCTCATAGACCATAGCTCTCAACCAGTAATAGTAATAGTAATAGTAAAAAATAACTATTATCAGGATTATGGTCTCCTCATATTAAATTCATGTACTTGTTCCATTTTTTCCTGAATTCCATACCAATGTAATGGGTTTGGGTTATTTAGTCTGGTGAACAAGCAACAATATTTGAAGGGAGTGGAGAAGAGGTAGGGTCCTACATAGCTTGTTATTCACCGAAGTTATTGCGTTCGACATAAACAACAGCAGAGAGGAAGAGGTAATGTATGGTGATTAAGTATCCTTCCAAGAATATATTTCCTTTGATAGCCCGCATAAACAATTATTTGTCAGCAAACGCAGTGATACACAAAAAGAGCAGAAAAAGACCAGCACAAAACAATGTGGTCAGCGTTTAATAGGGTTCAACTGAACAGCGAGAAGAGTAAAGAACTTAGAATCTCCCTCACTAAAAAGCAGTCTGAGTTCCATCCTATTCTTGTAAATGGTAAACAACTTGAAATAGTTAGAAATGCAAAGCTGCTGGGTGTGATAATTACAAGTGATATATCATGGAATGAGCACATTAACGAAACTGTAAAGAAGGCGTCTTAGAAAGGTTTGTATTTCCTAGTTCACCTTAAACGGGCAAAGCTTCCATGTAGGGACTTAATCCCCTTTTATGCCACATGTATAAGATCAATCCTAGTTTATGAAGCGCCTGTTTTCTTTTATGCTCTGCCCAAGTATTTACAGTGTGAGCTGGAGCGGGTCCAAAAAAGGGCATTATTGATCATTTGCCCCAGTCTGCCTTATGACGAGGCACTTATGAAGCTGGTAGTCCAACCATTATTTCATACTGCAAGGACATATGTGACAAGGTTTTTAACCCTGCCCTTGGCAACAAGGATACTAACAAACTTAACAAGCTATTAACTGAAGCCAATAGGGCTCCGTATTTACTAAGAAATTACCGACACTTTGCACTTCCAAGGTGGAAGACGGAACGTTTTAAGAACACTTTTATCTTGTCATCGTGCCTAAAGTACAATTACCGGTAAATGATTCGGTTTGAAAGCTTTTATATATTATATGCATGAATTTTTAATATATTTTTGCATATTGATGTATTCCAAATTATTCTATTTTTCAGCTTAGTTTTATTTGTAAATACGCAATTCAGCCTCTGGGTGCCCATGTATTTATTGTAGTAAACTATCTATCTATCTATCTATCCATCTAAGGGTCAGACATCCTACAGGGTTTGTGGACACAACAGTTATGTGCAGGTCATGCTTAATCCGTAAGCAGGATTCAAAACGTTTGCCAATGAATAAACAATATGGGCAATCAAGGAAAGGGAAGTCTGGGAAGGGTATGCAGCGTGATGACACACACACAAAAAACGTCTGCATAGGGGACTAATTCGTCGATCCCTACAATACATTTAGCTACTCCTTCACCAGACTAAACCGAATCGGTGTATGGAATTCAAGAAAAATATTCGTGTAGCATGTATTCAAACGCAAGTATCATTGACATGACCATATGAAGTGCTACATCAAATAAATGGTAACTTTAAAAAAATAATAAATTCTATCGCTTACTTGGGATACTTTCAGTTAAGTCTTCCGCGTCGTGATTTCTTTACCAATAACGTATTCATCCCTTGCAACAGTTCGCTCCTACATTCGATTGATTCCACCACGTTGATGCAACGTGGGGGCTAGGGAGGGGTAGCTCAGTAGCCCCAAGCAATCAACACAGCACTGAGGATACACCACTTTGCTCGACAGTCAACCCCATGCCTGACCTATTTATAGAAATTTCCCTCTCTACAATTTTTCTTGGTCCTCTTGTAAAGAGTAAGTCTGAGTTGTTACTGTATGGGATGTAAAATACACACTCCGTCCGGTTAGCGTGAAACATACAACTACCGCTGACCTAGTATACAGCTGGTTCAGTAAAGGTTAACAAAGCAGCCTTTATAATGCAATGATACAAGAGACTATAAAGGGGACGGAGAGGGCATCCCCCATATACACCCTATTCCATAGGTAATTCATCTCGAGTTATTTTTAGAACCGCAGATCCCAAGGGGGATTGGACAACAGCCAATCACATAGCGAGAATGTATTCCGCGTGGACGACCCACGCTAGAACCACGCGTCCTCCACGAATTAACGCGGAACAAAATGGGGGAAGACGCGGAGAGCGATTTTGCTATTCCTTTTGTCGACGAAAACGACTACAGCGAGATTTCTGCGAAAGCTGTGTCAGCGAAACGGAAATTTAAAAAAATCGCCCTTCCTCTCTTATATAGAGCTAACAGTACAGAAGGGAAATCCGTAACACACTGAATATTCTCTCAGGATCATTTATAATTTACAGTTTGAAGAGAGCAATTTCTGGTTTGATATTTATTCCTTTATTAGTCTTTTATTATTCAACAAAAATAACACTTGGCGTCCTACTTGCCTTATTAGGGACTTTAAGATCCAACGGCGCGACGTCGACAAGAACGACGCTTGAAAAGTGAATTTGAGTTTTTTCAGTCTTTATAGCGATTATTCCTACCCACTTACTTTGTCAATTGTAGGCGAACCCTCCTGAAGCAGAATTTCAAGGGACCATATTCAAGCTCAGAAAGAGAAATAAAATTTCGTCGTTGCTTGTTTACGTCCTCCATAAAACGAGAATTTAGGCATTTTCACGTCGTGGTCGTGCAAAAACAGGAAAGAAATGAACAAAAAAGTGTGTTGCACGTGCGAAGTTGTTGTTTTGCTAATTAAACCTATTGTTTTTTTTGACGTTCTAGTTGTCGTCCGCGTCGTTGGATCTTAAACTCCCTATTGTACAAACGACCGGTTTCAATAGACCGGCGAAATTTCTCATTTTATTAAAGCACTGAGGTTACGACAGCTTCGACTTAAACTGATTTCACGGGTTGTCAAAGAGTCCAGCGATTCCTTTTTCCCAGGTGAACGCCGACTCATTTCGCTTCAATATTCAGGAACGCTCTCGATCTTTTTACGCTTTCATTGCCTTTCGCCCGACATGTTTTGCACGGCGTTTAGTCATGCGAAACATCTACGCCTCGCGCGAGGTAACTTTATCCCGATTCTAAAAATAACTCGAGACGAATTACCTATGGAATAGGGTGTATATGAGGGATGCCCTCTCTGTCCCCTTTATAGTCTCTTGAATGATACTATTAATGGATTTTTAAATGAAGATATGATCATGGCATCGCTGAATCATCAATGCAATGGTAAATGCAATAATAAGCCAAAAAAAAGTCGCGATTTCAACGGGATTCGAACCCATGGCCTCTCGTTATCGTTGCGGTGCTCTTCCACTTGAGCTATGAAGACCCATACAATGGGATCATGCAGGCCAGCCTCATTCATTAATTACTTAATTACAGTATTACATTCACTTAGAGATGCATTAATATGGCTAAAGCCAGGCAACAATTTTTCACCAGTTTCCGCAGTTTCATATCAACTTCCAGGAGCCCATCAGCTCCTTCATCTTCATAATACTAATAATAATTAACATTATGATAAATTATGTTTGATTTTCAGCATAATATAAAGAAGATTAGAAATAACATCCTAAAGTCGAATGATATCACCAAGAAACCACGCTGTCTACAAAAAGGAAATAAAACTATTACATGGGCACAGTTCAAGGCAGCATATGACTGGGATCAGAATAGTTTTTCTCTTCCGTTACACGAAAAGCTGACTCTTCAGCACTTCGAGCTAGATCCATCAAGCAAAATGAGGAATCATTTGGCAGAAAATGTTTTGGACTCTAAGATGCTCTTTCTAATGCAGGTAAATGAAAAATAGTTTAACATCACTTTGCGACGCATTGATATAGCTAAAGCTATGCTACAATTCTACGCCAGTTTTTAACAAAACATGACGGCTCAGGGCATCCCCCGCCCGCCGCTTTCGCGTATTCTCTAGCGAACCCACTCGCGCGTCTACTTTTCAAGATATCCCCCAATTGGAAAGCTTGTTCGCAAAACTGAATTATCCATGAAATATGTCTGCTGTATTGGTATGGAAGAACCTTTCCTAATTGTCCCCTAAAACAACAAAGCTCATTGCAGCCTCTTACCACCGAGTGGCCTGTTTATAGAACTATTGTCCGTTTACGTTAAGTTCGTTTATGATTTTAAACCTATCATGTAGTTTTTCCATCTTTACTTTCAGAAGTACCAAGAAAATCTAAACGAAGGTGGCAAAGACGGCTCAGCGCTTGATGCAACGATTGAGTTATTGTCCCATACAAGTAATATTGTAGGTTTGTTTGGTGACAAGTTGTTTATATCTTCAACAAGTGACTCTCGCCTAGCAAAACTGGATAACTTTTATAAGTTCATGATGAATTGGAGAGAGGAAACAAAAGACAGCAATAACAGTTTTATTTCCTCAAAATTATTCTTTGACCTGCAGTCCATGTGCCTCGGATTTCAAGCTATTGTTCATTTGAAACTAACAAGATTTCCGTCTTCCGCTATCAAACCAGCCATTGTCAATCAGGATGTCGCAGAAAACCATTTCTGCCAAATACGCGCATGTAACGGCCAAAATAACAATCCTACATTTGCACAACAGCAGTCTACTCAAAACAGCATCAGACTTGGCCAGACCACTATAAGTAGGAAGAGTAACGCTGGAAATCTGAGCACTTCCAACTTCACTTCTTGTTCTTTACCCATGTCATGCTCAAAGAAATCATAAAAAGCCTTTCTAATTTAAGATAAACCATTCGAAAGTAATTTATAATACGCCACGTGACATTCGTTTGCTTGTAAAATTGGAGTAATCGTGGTCAAGGAAGTAGTTCGTGAAAAAGAAGTTGCTCTCAGTGTGCATTCAACTGAGCCAAGCACAGAGCGCTATTCAAAGCAGAGAGTAGGGTACAATAAAGACAGATTTTAACGAAGGAAAAAAATGGTAAGAAAAGTCCCTGGACATCTGTCCATTACGCCTTACTGCCTTCTTAAGACCATTCGAACTGATCCCTCCTGCTCGTTAGTTGTCACCCTTTCAACACTGAAGAGTCGGTCGTCTACTGGGACTGTTAAAGGCATGGACGTGTTAGCCTTGACTGCAGCTGACAAATGTGCGGCCAGGTCTTTTTTGTTCCATCGTCTAACCACTGTAATAAGGTATGCTTCACACAGAGCGACGAGCTGTTGTTTCTTGTACACCCGACACAATGAATCCAGATCGGTGTATTTCTCTATAAAATGACGAAGTCGGCTGTGAGACTGGTGTTTCCCTTGACTTCTGTCCTGTTGAATCTCCTAGGAAAAGAAGTATCATAAAATATAAAAAAGTCATTAATTCAAGGTGTAAGCAGAGTGGTTGATGCAGGTGGTCGACTATAAAAAGTCAGCTTAGTATACATTATGACTTGTTAATAGACGAACTTTAGTACGTTATCAATTCCTCTTATTTCACGGCGGCCAAGATGGTGACCATTGTGGTGCTGTCACAGGCCTCCAGCGGCACCACCACCCATAAAACATACCTAAGAAGATCAAAGGCTTTCCACTGAAGGTAAAGTCGCTTCGAATACCGGAACATGTCAAAAACTCTAGAGGGTGGGGGGGTCCATACACCTCCCTTGCATCACGGTGGGGGTATGAATTTGCGTGTACGTCCGAGGGTTTAGAAGAAGTACGTTTATGTCATATTATTTGCTTAGTCGCTACCTTTTTCACGACTTTTTAAGTTATATATAGAGGACGCATCGGCGTAGGTTTAAATGTGTAAAGTGAAGTTCATTGTTTTAATTGTAAAGAGGAAAGCCAATTAATCAACAACATCCTCTTCCTAACGAAGTAGAGTCACCACGATTATGTTATATTTTTTAAATTCTCCTTCACCTTAAAAGGTACACTGTCTGTCCTCTCTTGGGCTTTTTGCTGTCTCTGCAGCACCCTTTTCCGCAACTCAGTGCTCTTCTTGATGTTGTAATCTCTCCTGAAGTCTCTCAGGTACTGTGAAGCACCCATGTTCACATATCTTTCAATAACAGAAACAAAGAGAGCCAGTATGGAATCCTAAAAAAGGATAGAATTTAGGTTAGTCTTATACTTGAAAAGCTATAAAAGCCTTGAGTGTGAAAATTTTTATAAATTCAATTCCGGGTAGAGTGTCACAGGCACATAAGTGGCTTCTTTCTACAGCACAGTTCAAATTCCACGGCAGGAGGAGCGTGCAACAAGGGCATGCAATAAACCAACCACGAACCATGGCATAGTCTCTCTGCCAGTTTACGTGACCCTCTGCTAGCTCAGATGAAATGTGATGATTTATAATGACCATTAAACTACAAGTAAAGTTGTTTTTTTTAAAATGTGAAAGTAAAACTCGCTTCAACTTCAGACATACCGATCGCAATTTCCACTTGATAATAAATTACCTCGTTTGCTGTTCTTTCATCTTCTTGAAAGCAGGCAAGCCACTTTTGCTTTAAGCTCCTGGTTGTTCTTCAATTTGCTCTTTGCCACCTCAATCAAATCTTCTTTTTGTTCTTTCAACTTATGGTGGTTTATTAACTTGACACGCTCACTCTCCATGGCCATGAAAAGAAATAAGCATTGTCACTGATGTGAATAAGCCCTCGCTCTCTCTGTACTGCCTTTCTTCTGTAACATCGAGGGTTTCGGCCACCTTTGTGCTCTCTGATAATTTTGAGAATGGTACAATGACATTTTCCTCCAAGAGTTCGCACATCCGATGGTGTCGATGGACTTTCTGTAGGGTGCTCTTATTTTCTGTGTAAATGTTGACTTTAACGAATTTTCGCAAATTTTCCAATATCTTTCTAATCGCCCAGCCTCCCACGTAACGAACTTTTGATCTTCCCACTGCAGACATTTCTTCGACGCTGAATTCTATGGCTTCATTGCTCTGATCTTCTCTAATGGACTCCGATAGGTGTTTCAGGAACTGCAGGTGTATCTTCAGTCCAATCTTAACAGCCACCGTTTTCTGCACTGGGGTGAAGTAAGTGGTTTTAAATAAGGCAGCAACATATGTACGGAATTCCTGACTGCACCAAAACTCGTTTAATCGGGCAGTTACTTCGGTAAAATTCTGTCTTCCAATTTCCACAACCAGGTCGTCAGAGTTAGCGGCATTTTCAGAGATGTGGATTCTGTAGATGAGGAAAATATGGTACCAGACAAGCTTATAAAAAGCTTCGAGCTTATCCTTGGTTTCTTGATCCTGCTGGAGAAGGCTACTGATGGTTTCATTTTCAGCAACGGCGAATGGAGATGTCTCGGGGACTTTGAGAGATTTCACAAGTTCTGGTGGAGACTCTTGTAGGTCAGGCGGTGTAGATAGTATGGACTCGCACCTTTCTATTCGGCTTAATAGGTCATTTAAGCCTAGAGGTATAAGGTCTTCTACTTCAAAAGATGCCTGTGTTGGTCCGTCGAACATTTCCACCGGAAATGAAAAATCCTCTCCCTCTTCGCGCTCTTCCAAAAATCTGTCTGAAACTTTAAAGTGGTCGTCTTTAAGTACTTTATATCTACAACACGAGAGGTCTGCGACAGGCTCACACACATGCCCACTGGAACAAATTTCTATGACCTGTTTTGGAGGCTTCAGCAGCTGCTTTCTGTCGAAATTTAGCACTTGCAGATCATCTGGTTTTTTCACACGTGAGACAGCCACGTATATAAGCCCTGGCACAAACTCCCCAGTACAGTGAACTATTTCTGATGATAGAGTCAGTCCTTGAGACTTGTGGCAGGTAACCCCATACGCCAGTACCAACGGGTATTGCGTAACACTACCGACAATGTCTCCTTGACGGTTTCGTCTAAACCAAGTCTCCCTACTAATCAAAACAACTCCAACATTATCGAAATCAACTCTTAGTGTTTCTTTTTCAACGCCTTTAAAAATTCCCATTGATCCATTTTTCAACATTTCCGACTTGTTCCAAATCAGCATAACACGGCAGCCTTCCTTAAGCTGAAGCACGTTCTGCCCAGGCCAATTCATCCACCCATCTCCATCGCATATCGCTTCGAAGGTACACATTTCACCGGGTAAAGAAGCAAGTGTTGACCTATTGTGAAGCAAGGCAGGTATCTTCTTAAAAAAGATGTGCGTTGCGTTACGCTCTTTTTCTTCAGCTAGTGGACGTGAAAGAGATCTGAGGTAATCTTCAGTGGCTGTTGAGCACTGCCCAAGACGTACTTCCTTCAAACAAGACAAAAACATTTGGTCTTCTGGTGACTGCCTCATAATTTGCTTCAATTCAAATCGATGTGTAATGGCGGCCCGAAATATAGGGGCTAGAAACATAAAATTTCCCTCATCGAAACAATTAGGAACCGGCCTTAGCTGGAGAAATTCACCCACCAGTACCATCTGCTTTCCACCAAAAGGGTTCTTCTTGGTTTGATCTTCTGATATGCGATGATGTAGCACGTTCACAAGTTCCAACATGCGTTGGCTAGACATGCTGGCTTCATCCCAAATGATGGTATCTACTTTTTCCATTCGCATTTTCACAATATTGTTGTCGAGTGACTGATCAATTAATTTTTCCCATGACAGTTCTGCCGTCTGAAGTCCATAAAACGAATGGACTGTCGAAGCCTGGCCCTTTTCGTACACCTGAGTTGCGATTCCGCTCGCACAAACAACACCCACGTTTTTCCCAACGGCCCGCAGACTACGGATGATAAATTTCACCACCTCAGATTTTCCTACGCCAGCTTGTCCAGTGATCAACACATTATGTCCCTTCTGTACAAAGTTAACTATGTCTGATTGGTCAGCGTTCAGCCGTAGCCTAAGGACCAGATCAAAAAAATTAATACTATTAAAGACGATTTTTAGCGCGCGCATCACAGCGTTGCAATCTTGCAATATTAGAACAAAACATTGTTGCCACCATTCAAAACAATGTTGCAACGCTGTTTGGTGCTAAAAGTCATCGATAGGACTCGGCTCGTGCAACAGCGCTTTTAAGGTTAATTATAAGCGGGGATTGAGCACCATATTTTCTCAGGCCCCGTCCGCACGTATCCGGATATATTTTAATCCGCTCTCCAGATTGAATTTTTTTTAATGCGCTACGAATCCGGTGGCGTAATAAGATCGAGCGCGGATACATGTGGACGTGGAAATTTTTTACATCTGGAAAGTAAAAATTGTGGATTCAAAAATATCCAGGGCCTCATTTAACCCTCTGCGTTACCAAAGTTTTTTGGTTTCATTATCGTTATCATTTTCATTAACGTCACTTTAATCATTATCATTGTCATCATCACTACTTATTACTCTCATTATTATTATATTATTATTACATTTGTTGTCTATTCTTGATAGTATTGGGAGGGGACCAGATGGGCAAAATATGGTCGTAGTGAACAGATATTGTGAGTACATCTAAAAACGGAAAACGAGAATACGCTAACCGAAAACGGGCTAATACTGCAGCGTTAAAAAGGTTGAAACGTGTGTTTTAATCGTTCCATTTATGGAAATGAATAGAACATTACCCGGTTCAACATTTTCCGCGCGCTAAACTTTGGCAGAATCAACCGATGACCAAGTCTCTTGGACACGGTGTTAGGTGTACTTTCCATTGACCCAAAATTCCGGAAATTTCGGTTGGTACATCAAATGGAACAGAATATTTTGGTTTAGTGTGACGGGAATTAATATTGAGCACCAGCTTTAAAGATGGTCCGCCTTGA